AATGAAAGATGTTCAGAGAATGGTGAATGTTCTGGTAGATGTGCTGATGGATGGACAGGAACAACTTGTAGTCAACGTATTTGTATTTCTTTATGTTAATTTCTATACTAGACGAAGATAATGTGTCAAAAGCAAAAATAAAAGTATTCTGTTCAATATCTGTCCAAGAAAATCATCATCATTTTTATGTTCATTGTAGAAAATCAGTATTTCATGTTGATGAGGGTTGTTTTTTCTTGTTTCATATTTCAAATTAAACTAAGGTGTATCTAACCACATATTATATATCTTTTATCAGCATATGTTTCCTGTTTTTACATAATTAATTGAATGTATGTGCGGTGATAGTTTCATAATATCAATGTGTCGCTCAGCATAAACCCATGCACTGCACTGTATCCATGGGGTCACTATTTTAATTGAGAACCTATAAAAGTGAATCATTTGACAAAAATTTCCTTTTTCTAATAGATTGTCATAATGGTATCTATGGTACTGGATGCTTAAAACTATGTTCAGATAGAAATTGTTTAGTAGAAACATCACCATGTAATCATATCAATGGTAGCTGTCAAGGTGGATGTAAAGAAGAATTTAGTGGAATTGACTGTGTTAAAAGGCAGTACAGCAATTTACAATGTGAGTGTAAAACAGGAGAATGTATTGATGGGTGTCAACCAGGAAAACATATCCAATCTATTTTTTTATAAACCTAAATTTCATGAGTAAATAATAGATTTAACAATATTTACAGAAAACCAAAAGCAACCTTTCGGAAATAAAAAAAAATTATTGGACGTTCGGTTTTAGTCTAGATACGTTCCTGACTGAAAAATATTGAATTAACAATATTGATCATGTGAATTCCAGAAAGATGAGTCATATATTTTCTGATTTAGTTTTTTTTCCATTTCGTGGACGTTCTCTGACTTATAAAAGATAAGAATTTGTGAGTTCGTATTTAAACCATGCAGATATTTTCTGTTGTGTTTCCAGAGAGTGATAGTAGGTTTGTAGGTCAAGAGGGCTAATTTAAGACAGCTTAATTGCTCAATACTATTCGTTAAAACAGATCAAGAGTATTATTATTTTCTTAACGTATTTCAGAGTTTGTAGACTGACTTCCTTTGTTGGTAACTCACTAGATGACAGGTGTCTATCACATTTCAATTATAGTATAGTAGTTATAGGTGAAGTTTATAAATTTCCATGCGTATGTGTTTCCATTTTGCAGACAGTAATGATCAGAGTTTGATTATCATTGGAACGATTTTGGGTTTACTTATTGGTTTAGTAGCTGGGGCACTGATGGTTGTGTTTATTATGAAACGAAGGTAAGGCACGTTATAACATTGGTTCGAGGGATTCTAAAGTCATAAAAATCCACTAAAGCGTTTATTTTGATGGATGTTTTTGGCGAACTAGAGAACGACCACCGTCTGGAACTCTTTTTTATGCTTCATGGCTATCACCTGTTGACACATTTGGAAAGTCAACATAGCTAATAATTTTAATTAGTGTATTATGTTAGTAAAACAGAAATATATTCTTTACATTAATTATAGGTCAAGATCTAGGTCAAACCAGTCACAAATAGTTAGCACTGACCAGTCAAGTAGCAATATACCACAACCAGAAACAACCACCAATCAACCAGTTACTCAACTGTTCAGCAACATCAGTAACAACCAAGATAATCCTTATGGTCAACTTACCACTGCTTATCAAAATGAAAACGCTTATGAACTTCTTGGGAAAGCTGAAGGAAATGTTTCAACTAAATAGGATTATTTATGAACAGTATTTATCAACTGGCCTCATAAGTCCAGATCTTGAGTCTAAATTGAATTTCACTACAAAAATTACTGTGTCGGGTATCAGTCAGACAGGGTTGACCACCTTGCCATAATATCTGATACAGTCTGTCACAACAAGACATTATTCATTATTGCATATTATATTATATTTATGTTGCTCTTCGTATTGTTTGTTAATTTTTGTTATCAATATTGAATATTTATGTTGTTTTTAGTCTTATTGTCAGTTTTTGTCATTTATTGTAAATATTGCTTGTTTGGCAACAACAAGTAATTGCTGTGCTTAATAAAATATATTACTACTCGCATTTATTATCACCGTAACGGGAAGAATGGTTTAACCTTAAAGTTTTTTATTTTGAAACGAGGTCTTTGACTGGAACAAACTACTGTATCAATCCCCTTGGTTTACCCTGTACCTGGATTATCTCCTTTTAACATGTCATCTTGGATAGTCCGCAATATTACGCAGGTGTTTATTCACATTATCGCTTGCAAAACTTATAAAGTATGATTGTGGACAAATTCAACAAAGATTAAACGTCAATTGTTAATCATGCATTTAAATACATATTACATTTCTTTCAAAAGATTTAAAAGTTTCTTTGTCGATTCTTATCATTGTTCAATATAATGAATATTACATTTCATTTTGACCACTATTC